TCTTCATCTAGACTCATGTGGGACATTGCTATGGGATTCAGGCCCTTAGCTAAATATTCTATATCTTTAGTGTTGTATATAAATTTCCTGCATTTTCTTGTGTTAACTCTGGGTGACCATCATAAAAATAATATTGTAAACTCCATGTCCTGGTTCTAATTGTTCTCTGTACAAACCCTGACTACAACACAGGATCAAGACAGGCTAAGAGCACAAGTGCATGGGGACACTGGAAACAAATCAGACTCCCCACCCCATCTTTAGGGTCCTGCAGCAGCAGCAGGAGAACTGGTAAGCACCTGTCCCTGCAGAGTCACAAGTGCCCCATAGTAACCAAGCAAAGCATGTTGGCACCCCTTAGAGGATTCTGGGGACATCTCAAAGACTTCCTTATCAGGGACAAAGAACTCTAATGGAGTTTGTGCTGTATGAGCAAATTTAGGCTTTTTAGGGCTTGACACTGGGGGATGGATTTTTATCTGCCTTTGACAGTAAAGCCCATGAGATCTGACAGCATTGTTTTCCCGGTACTTCTCAGAACAGAGTATTGCTGCTGCTGCTGCTGCTTGACATCATCATCTGCCTCCTGGTGCTGGTGGGCCTCATCTGCAGCTCCAAGAGCATCCTGGCTGGGTGAGTCTGATAGGAGGGGTATACTTGTGGGAGGGACAGGTTGAGCACCTGAGGTACTACTGTCTCCCCATCATGGGGTCTGTGCGGGACCAGAGCCTGCTGTGGTCTGCCCAAGGTGGTTTCTGATGCAGAGCCTGCTCCGAGATGCCTGTACCCTGTACCCAGTATTGGGAGTTGCTTCCCCCAGCCCAATCTGGGTTGCCTCAGGAAAGTCAGGAGAGCTGGAGCCACCTGCCAGGTCCCCAAGTGCTGGGGAAACCAGGAGATCAGGCCAGAGCTCCTTGTTACCTCTGCCTGTGGACATGGAGGAGGTTTGGTTGGCTTGATTATTTACCAGGCTGGTGGCCTTAGGCAGGTGTTGTATCAGCTACCAGTCCCTCTCCTTGGCCCAGAAATAGAGTGACAGCTTGCCTTTAGAGTGGCTCTGAGGTGATGTTACTGTCCCTCCCTGACTAATTGCATAGCCACATCCCAACTCTTGTATGCACCTTGTGCAGGAAGGGTCCAGAGGACTCTCCAGCTCCTGCCCAGTGGCACTCCTAGGCCTAAGAGGGACAAATAAGTAAAAGGAAGGTCACAGGTAATGAGAACTGGGGAGACGCAAAGCCTGGTCAGGTAGCAGGGCTGCGTGCACCTGGCATCCAGGGTTCATGAGCGCGGGGGTGGTGGAGCGGAGGCCCAGGCTTGGACAGCACACAGGCCTGCAGGTTGGGAGTGAACACAGCGTGGGATCCAGGAGAGGTCAGTGTGGGAGGCCCAGCCCTGCAGGCAAGAGCCCACCCGCCCACGGTGCTCAGAGGGCTGCCCTTGGGGATGAAGCTTGGCAGGGCCTGGTCTGGCCGAGGCTAGCAGGACCTTTATACTGCTCTGTGAGGCAGAAACTGGGACTGGGGGGGGGGTGCCCAGTGATAGAAGAAACTGGGACTGGGTGTAGCCAGCCTGCACAAGGTCTTGGATTCCATTTCCAGCACTACAAAGAAAAAAAAAGAGAGAGAAGGAAAGCAGAGACTTATCTGCTAAAGAAAGCGTTCTGGTGACAGGCTTAGCGACAGGAAAGGCAAAGCCCAGGAAACCTCCTGTTCTTTAGTCAAAGTGGGAGGGGAACCTGTCCAGGCCCTGGGCCTTGAGAGGGCCTGGTCTCAGCCAGAGGTCATGTCCTCAGGTGTACCTGGGTTTTGCCCTCCATCCATAGCCCAGTGAGTGGCATGACCTAGTCCCTAGCCTGGGAGATGCTGACTGACTTTCTTTGTCCCAAGGGTCTGCTTGCTGGGAGTGTTGGCCCTGCTCATCAGCTGGGGTGCCCTGGCTTTGGAGCTAGCTGTATCTGTGGTGAGTGGTGGAAGACCAGCAGTCCCCATCTGCTGAGCCTTGGTGGGTGGTGAAGGAAGCCAACAGTCTGTCCTCTCCCACCTTGTGCCAGGTCACTGGGTCCTTACCATGTGCACACAGCATATCCATACCCCCCCCCCCGATTCATACTCCACCTTCTTGAGCCAAAAGTGGACCCTGGGGTAGGTTCTACCCACTGAGAGCCCAGGGTACCATCTCAGGGGAGGCCCAGCTAACTCCCTTTCTTGCCTGTGCCCACTCAGGGTTCCAGCGACTTCTGTGTGGACCCTGACACCCACGTGACCAAGATGGTGGAAGAGCACTCGGTGCTAAATGGGGGTGAGTCCGTGGCCCTGTCAGAGTTGGTCCCCTGGCTGGACTGAACTGGGAGAGCCAGGTGAACAGGGCTGGTGTGTGCAGGGCACATGGTGGGCAAGTGCTCTGCCACTGAGCTATGTCCCTAGTCCCCATTTCTTTTAACAGAAAGTTTCTATTACTTTGAAAATAAAGGACATAATTGTTTTTAAAAATGCTATCAAAATCCCCAAGGAAAAGGAAGAAAAATGGAAGGAGAAGAGGAAAAAAGACCATTTGAACAGGTGTAGGAAACAGGACTCCCAGACTCCCCCAGGGGCCCTCTTGGGCCCTATAGCCCCTCACCTTGGTGGCAGGGTGCTCCCGGGAGATGTTCCTCAGAAGCTCGGCCACAATGTCCTGCATCTCCACCAGTGCCTTGTGGCTGCCTGACAGCTTCTGCTCCACAGAGAGATGTAAGTTCCAGCAGCTGGACAGCCCATCCTCCCCACCCACCCCAGGCAGCCTGCAAAGTCCCAGGTGGCCAGCTCTGCCCTCAGGCTCCAGGACTCACCCTGCTCTCCAGCTGCCTACACACCCAGGGGCCAAACAGCCCAACGTGGTGATGGGAACCCTATGCCCACTCTAGAGAACAAAGTCCTGAGGCAGACAGCGCTCAGGACTGAGAGACGTGCCATCCCGTATAGCGACTGGCAGCAGGGAAAGGGTTTGAGAAGTGGTGCTCACCCCCAAATCTCACCACCAGGATGCCCAAATGGACAGCCTGTCCCCTGCCCCCTAGGAGTTGCCCCGGACAGCCCACGGAGTGAAACGAGTCCAGGGCAGTGGTGGCATTAAGCAGCTCACAAGAAAAGGTTGTGCCAGGGGGACAATGTGGCAGTCCCAGGGCAGCAAGTGAGGCCAACCCGGTGTTCACTGGCTGCTCTGCTCCACCTCTGTGGAACCTGTGGGCTATGGATGTGTGGGCTACAAAGGCCAGAACAGGGTCTGCTCAGCCTCTCCATAGACACTGTGCCCTGGGCTCTCCCCACCCCTGCACCTGGCCCAGCCTCTCAGGACAGGGCTGGCTCTCACCTGCTGGAAGGGGTTGGCAGCATAGGGCGAGCAGGCCAGGTAGTACTGCAGAATGTCTGCAGAGAGAGGGCAGGGTGGGCTGAGGCGGCAGACTCTGCGAGTCTGTGTAAGGTGTCTGTGTGCATGCACACGTCTTCAAGTGTGTGCCTGCGTGTGTCCACATGTGTATACTTGGGTGCTATGTCTGTGTGCACATTTGTGTGTGGTGCAAATGTGTGCACACACATGTATGCATGTGCACACATGTATATATGTGATTGTATACACACACATGTTTGAGCTGTGGCCTCCAGTGAGATCCTTCAGGGCCCAGACCTATGTGAACTGGGGCTGGTGCAGTGACAGCTCCTGCACTCAGCCCTGGGATCTGTGCTCCCAATCTGAGCCTCCTGAAACTCAGAGCCTGTCAGACCAGATGTAGAAGCTGTGCAGTTCATCAGGAAGTCCCACCAGCCTCACCCGCAAAGCACACCCCTGTCCATGCTCCATCCTACTTATTCAAGCCACTCCTGTCTTCAGGAGTCCAACAGCCTGCCCCAGGTCCTTGTCACCCCAAAAGCCCAAAGACGCTTTGAAGAGGCTACTCCATCATGACTCACATCTCTCTTCTGCCCTTCCAGAATAAAGCCCAATCTCCTACCTGTGGCCTGGCCCTGCTAGCCTCTCTCTACCCTCTCCTCTCCCAGGCAGTCCAGGGCTTCTGCTTTACAAATGTCTAGTGTTTCTGTCTCTGGGCCTTTGCACAAGATACAGCCTCATCTGGCTCAACTTCAGTGCCACCTGTTGGAGGCCTTCCATTCCCAGACCGCCCACTCTCACGCAGCACTGGACCACTTGCCTGCCTGCTTATTAGCGCCTCCCAGCTCCGGGAAGGTGGCCAAGGTAGTCCTGTTGGCTCCCTAGCTGCCCAGCCTAGCACCAGCTTCTCCAAGACCGAGGGCTATGAAGGCAGGGACACTATAAAGGGGTGCTGGGCTGTCATTTGTACCTCACATTCCCAGAGGTTAGGCTGCAAGGCCAGGGTCAAGGTGTGGCTGGGCCGATCCTGCTGGAGGCTGCCCTCCTTGGCTTGTGGATCCTGTCTTTTCCCCAAGTCCTCACGGGGTCATTCCTCTCTGTGTGTCTTTTTATGACACTGGGCATAGTGGGCCAGCGCCTAATCCCTGGTGAACTCACTGTCTAATGCCCTTTCTCTAAGCACAGCAATCTGAGGTTCTGGGTGGGATCTCAGCACAGGAGTTTTAGGGGACACAATGCAGCCCACAACAGTAGTTTCTCTTTTCTCAGGATCCCAGCGGGTCCCTAGAGAAAGTGTTACAGCTGCAATCCAGGCACTCAGGCTGAAGCAGAATGAGCACAAATTCAAGCCCAGCCTGGGCAACTTAGTGACTTAGCAAGACCTCATCTCAAAATAAACAAAGCCATGGGGATGTAGCTCAGTACAAAGGCCCTGGGTTCAATCCCCGGTACCACAAAAAGAAAAAAAGAAGGGAAGAAAATATGTGACAGGAAGCAGTGCAGGGTCAAGTTGGTGATCTGGAGGAGCCACAGTCCACCTGCAGGTGTTTCTGCATGGCCATGTCCCCGTACGTGGGACAGGGCTGGAGGTGTCTGTGCACGTGTACACATAGAACACATGGGACGCTGTCATGGGTGTGTAACAGTCAGGCTGTCTCTGTGCAGTTTTTTGTACTGCTTTGTCACTTAAGGTAGTGTGAGGACTTTCCTTTGTCTTCCACTGTTCCTTAACTAGGACTTTACCTTTTAGCACTGGGGGCTGAACCCAGAGCCTTTGCACTGAGCTGGATCCACAGTCATTTTGGTTTTCAAGACAGCTTCTTGCTAAGTTGCCCACACTGGGCTTGAACATATCGTCTTGCTGCCTCAGCTTCCCAAGTACCTGAGATTGCAGGTGAGTGTCACCAGGCTTGGCTACTTCAAGTAGAATTTTTCAAAGCATAGCCTGTACTCTTCGGTGGCAGGCAGTAGCTGTCTGTTCTCTCATGATAAGGGAGATCTGTCTTCATATAGTAATGACAATGGACAGGTATCCATATGTCGCCTGTGCCTGCAAGTCCAGGGCAGACTCCAAGATCACCCTTCCAAAAAGTCGGGGTCCTCAGGGCCTGTGCCAAGGTGGAGTGGTCAAAGGTGGTTTCTGGGGCAGGTTGGGAGGCTCTCAGCCTGGGTCTCCGCATAGTGCAGTGTTGACCTTGAGTTTCACTTGCTGCCAGGACCCCCTGCTCCGTGTCCAGGAGGTGCTGAACGGCACGGAAGTGAATCTGCAGCACCTCACTGCCCTGGTAGACTGCCGCAGCCTGCACCTGGTGAGGGCCACAGCGGGCAGAGGGTGCCGAGGAGGTCAGGAGTCAGAGCAGCCTTGTGGGGTGGAGGGGAACTGTGGGGCAGGGAAGAGGTCAGGGGAGCTGGGAGCTAAGGGTAGAGGGGAGCTGTGGAGAGGGCAGGAGTGGCCCTTGAGAACAGCAGACTCAGTAGGTGATGGGGGCCTCAGCCCAGCCTGGCATCAGGGCATCCAGGCTGCTATAGCTGAAGCTTGCCTGGCCCGTCCATCTCACACTTTCTGCCCTTGACTCTGTGTCCCTGTTCCCTCTCCCTGTGTCTCGTCTCTGCTGGCTCAGGACTACGTGCAGGCACTGACGGGCTTCTGCTATGACGGCATCGAGGGCCTCATCTACCTGGCGCTATTCTCCTTCGTCACGGCCCTCATGTTCAGTTCCATCGTCCGCAGCGTCCCACACACCTGGCAGCAGAAGAGGTGAGCCTGAGCAGGTCCTGAAATGTGGCCCCGCTGTCTTTGGGACGGGGTCCTGGAGACTCCAGCTCATGGCCCCAGAGGTGCAGGTCTCTGCTCCAGCTGAGTGCTCCCTTTCCACAGAGGAGCTCAGCCAAGGAGGGGCACCAGAGTCTCCTGTGCCCTTGGCTTGGCCCTGTTCCCCCATGCTGAGGAGCGTGCTCACAGGTCACTATTCCTAAAAGCCAGGTCCTCGGAGCTGGAGGACAGTGCCTGCCATGTATTCCAGAATTCTCTCAGAAGCACAAACACTGCCAGTGACTGAGAGCCACCCAAAAGGTGAATGTATATAGCATGAGAGATGGGAGCTGCCTGGATGTAGCCATGAACCTACGTTATCTCGGGAGTCCTGCCATTGTGTGTATGCATGTGTGCGTGCATGCATGTGTGTATGTTTGTGCACACGCACATGCGTGTTTTGTCTGTGATTCTTCATCTACGGAGGCTGAAGAAAGGAAAGGGGAAATCAAGAGGGGTTTACCCCCCAATCTCAGCAGCTCATGCCCTTGGTTTTCTTTCTGTTCTGAATTTGGTGCCCCTTCCTGACCACCATACCCAACCACATCACTATGCTTCCTAGGGTGTTGGGCCAGGCTGCCACTCCCACCCTGCCCTCCTGGGCTCTGGAACATGGGCGAGGCTTGACTCCATGGAGAGTAGACAGCCATGGGGGCTTAGCCACTGCCTGACCCCAGGGCCCTGCCAGGCCCTCGGGAGGGTCCTGCTGGGGCAAGGGACATAGTGATGGGGTTCCCCTGCTGGCATCCAGCACCAGCCCTCCAAAGCGAGGTGAGGTTGGGTAGTGGGAGGCCCTGGCTGGGAGCACCCCAACCCTTCTTCCTGATACCCACCCCATCTCACTATGCAATTCCAGATCCCTACCATTGTCCCCCTACCCAGGTTTTAGCTCTGCCCAGCCCGGAGGGGGGTCAGTTGGTAGCCCCTGGGCCCTAGTGACCAGGGCCTTTTGTGTGAGAATCTATGTTTAGCCACAATGCTTGCACTCCTCTCCTATTTGTTACATATATGATTTTGTTAAGCACCCCCACCCTACCCCTTGAATCTTACTCCTTGTGCATTAACCCGAGCTGCACCGGGCCCGCACCCCTCAGCCTCTCCAGGCCTGTGTGTCGCTGTCACTTAGTTTTTTTTTTTTTCTAAAACTGAGTTTTGGGTTTGATCTTTATTTCTTCGGGGACTTTATTTTTCTTGGCAAAGACTAAAAATCTCATTGATGTAATTTCTGTGGCTTCTATTCAGCTTGGGTTTCATGTTTGAAAATAAACATTTTAAAGGAACAGGTGACTTCTGAGTTTGTTGGGAAGGCCTCTCGCTCTGGGCCACTTGTAGGGTGAGGCAGGGGACTCAGCTGGGTGGGGACAGACCAACAGAACTGAGGAGTCAGGGAGAAGACCTGATGAGCCCTAGGAAGGCACCAGGCCTGGGTGAGGGCTGTGACCTCAGTGAAGATGGTGGGTTGCTGGGTAGATGGGGCTCTTTGGGGTGGGGAGGCAGGCAAGGCAGGCAAGCTTTTGACAGTCAGGGAAGCCTCTCTGTACCTGTGGAGGTACCAAAGAGACTGGAGGTCAGGGCTCACGTGAAGTCTCACTGCTGCTGCTACAGCTCTCTATGAACTCAGCTGGTTTAAAGCAGCTGTATTACCATACAGTTCTGGAGGTCAGAAGCTCCTTTGAGCTCTGACTCAAGGTGTTCATAGGGCTGTGCTGCCTCTTCTGGGGCCTCCAGGGGAAAAAGCCTAGGAAGGTGGCCTCCTGCCCTTTCCAGCTTCCAGAGGTGCCCACATTCCTTGCCCCTGAGCCTTTGCCTCCGTCCTCAAAGTCAGCAGCATATACCCTGGATGTGTCATTCTGACAATGCCCGTCCCCCCTTGCCTCCCTCTTTTGGTGCAGGCTCCTTGTGGTTCCATCCAGCCTACTGATTAATCTACAGTATTCTCAACATTCCTTTTGCCATGTAAAGTCACACAATCACAAGTTCCTGGAATAGGATGAATGTTTTTGGGGGCTGTTAAGTTCTATCCACCATGGAAGCTTGCCTTAGAGCTATGGTTCCAGGCAGACAGAACAGCCAGTGCAAAGCCCTGAAGCAAAGCCTGCTGAGGTGTTTTGACTAAAATAGAAGTGGCTACTAAAATAGAAGAGGAGAGAGTGAGAGGGAGAGTAGCTAGGAGTTGGAGGATTACAAAGAGCTTGTGGGTCTTGTGAGGACTTTGACATTTATCTTGAGGGAGCTATGGCAGGTCTGAGCAGAGTGATATCCATTTTAACAGGATCATCCTGGCTGCTGAGGGGGAAGGGGACAGAGCAGAATCACTGACACCAGTTAGGAGGCTCCTGCCATGGTGCAGGTCAAAGTCGATGGCAGCAGGGCTGGGGCAGAGCTGGGAGTGACAATCGGGGGCTGGATTCTGGAAGGAAGGTACTGCTAACAGCTCTTCCTGGCAGGGCAGCTAAGGAGGTGGGGTTTGGGTCAAGCAGTTGGGGCAGGATTGTCATAAACTGAGGGCACGGGTTTGACAGCCCAGCAGGCCAGAGGTCCAGCTGTGCCCATACTGAGTCAGAGGTCTTCTGACATCAGCATGCAGGGATGAGGGCTCAGGGAAGAGCCCTGTTGGTGTCTGGAGGAAGCTCGGGTGAAGGTGTGCTGGGTGCCATGTGAGGACAGCACGTCAAGGGGAATGAAGCACACGTCAAATGAGACTGATGGTCAGCGATGGCAGATTCAGTGACCTGGATGCTGAGTGGCCCCAGACAGGGCTGACGAAGCCCAACAGCAGAGTAGCGGGACGGGGAGCAACTAGAAGACAGGCAACCAGCCTTCTGAGGAAGTGAGCTACAAAGCAGAGAAACAGTGACGCTGTTTGCGGGGCAGGGCAGAGAGGGGCTGTGTGTGTGCGTGCGTGCGTGCGTGTGTGTGTGTGTGTGTGTGTGAAGGTGGGAGATGAGTGCTCACTGGTAGGGCTGATGGGGCCTGCCCAGCACAGAAAAGAAAGCGACTGTCCGGGAGCAGGGGAAAAGTAATTGGTAAACTATGTTTTCTCCAGCACTGTGGTTTGACCTCAGGACCTTTACACTGAGCTACTTCCGCAGCCCCTCGCACCCCATCCACTTCTGACACAAGGTCTTGCTAAATCGCCCAGGCTTTTCAATCCTTCCACTTCACCTGCTGGGATTATACGTGTGTGGCACCCCACCCGAACAGGATTTCTTCAGGAGTCAAGGAGGGCTGGGAGCCAGGGGAGGCCTGGCTACAGACACATGTGACCATCCCTGGCATGGGGGCTGGGCGGTGGGTTGGCACAGGCCGGTGAAATAGGCAGCAAGGTGGTCAGAGACTGGAGAGGGGGTAGGCGTGCAGGAGAGGGGTTGGGAAGCACTACTGAGGGCCCCCTGGGGTCCAGAGTCTGGAACAAAATGAGACTAGCCGGGGGCAGTAGTCATTTTTCTCCAGTCACATGGAGCCCCTAGAGCAGGCGGCCGGCTCCTGTGACCAGGTCCCGGGTGCTAGCCTGGCCCACGGGAGACATAAGCAGCAGTGGGAGTGGAAGGTGAGCTCAAGCCTGCAGTGCCTGAGATTTCAGCCAGGCGAGAACAAACCGTGGCAGGGGTGATGGGAGTGAAAGACTCCTTAAGGTCAGGGGACACCTGGAGGGCTGGCCAGCAGGTGGAGGCAGAGCAGATGGGGCGGCAGGGAGGGCGGAGGCTGTGGGGGCGGGGTGGAAGGGGGAGAGCGGCTACGCCAGGACTCAAGGCTGGATGGGACAAGGTGTGCAGGAGCCAGGAGCCAGGAGCCAGGAGCCAGGAGCCAGGAGCCAGGAGCCAGGACTTAAAATCTCTCAGCAAGGAGCCTGTGAATACTCCAGGGGAGCAAGGATTGAAAACCGGAGAGGTGCAGGGACCGGTAGGTGCCAGCAGGGGGCGCTGGGTCCTCGGGGGTAATTGGCAGCGGGGGTGGGAGAACTCCACCGGGTCCCAGCCCTGGAGTCCGGCAATCAGCATCCCCACAGGGACCCAGAGGTGCTGTGCCGCTCAGCTGGCAGGCAGCCTGCTGGAGAGGAGGGCACGGTCCCCCTGTGAGGACGCTGTCAGGCACCTCTGGTTTAAGACTGCAGGAAGAGTCGGGCTCCCTAGGGCCGCTGGTTCTGCTCCAAGGCTAAGCACTCCCCATTCCGCATGGCAGATGCAGGTAAATATGCTCCGTGTCATTGAAACGGTGTAGAGTGGCTGCGAAGAGCAAATGCAAGCTGTAGTGGTCACTTCTTTCCTCCCCTTGGCCTGCACACCTAGGTCCAGGCCAGTTTCAGAAATGGCAGGATTCAGACAGGAGATGCCACCGTTGCCGCCAGACGGCGCCCAAGGACTGTGACTGGTTGTAGTGCGGGTGTAGAGGCTGGGAACTGGGTGCTAGGCTATCTGGGGGGGAACAGCTACAACTCTGGGCCCCCTTTATTCTGGGCAACCTCTAGGGGTCCAGGTGAGGGGACTCCTGGACCCTGAGTCCCTCCTGAGAATGCCCCAAGTGCCTTCTGGGGAGGCTGGTGCTGGGCTCAGAAAGTAGACTTAGGAGGGGTCACCTCCAAGAATGCCCAGTAAGGCTGGTCTGGGGTGGCAGATGGTCCTCTGGGTGGCAGGGGTCTAGCCACTTTGTCTCACTCACAGGGGCGGGGTCTAGGCCTGAACCCCTGCTTCCCTCTGACAGGTCCAGAGAAGGGGCTTGGAGAAGCCACCCAGCAGGCCTGGTCTGCCACCTGCTTGCTACTTGGAGTGGAGGAGGTGCGGCAGGAGGACCTGGGATCCCGGCTCCACTGCCATCCTGCCTACCAGCCTTCCAGGCCTCCAGCCAGTGCCCCCGCTTCACCTTTCCCTGGTCCATGCCAAGGGGAATGCCCAGCTCTCCCCACTTCACAAAGCCTTCCCACTGCAGACAAGAGATGCGTCCTCCAGGATGTCAGCTTTGGGGACCCCAGGGGAAGTCTGTATACCCCAGACTGCAGGCCACGGCACACACCCCTCCCACCCAACTCACCTGGAAAGTGGAAGCTGAGGTGGGAGGCTGTCTTTCCCCCTCCTTGAGGACCCAGCAACCTGTAGTTTTACTTCCGAGTTTCACAAATGGTGGGCAGTTTTGGAAGGAGCCAGCCAGGACTCCTGACGGGCCCCAGCCTGGGATGCCAGTGTGTGGGGGGGTGGGGGAGCCATCCTGGGAACCTGCCTGAGGGGGGACACAGTTCCTCTCATGCCTGGGTGGCTCAAGAGCCCCTTCCTCACCCTGAGGGGCCTGCCCAACTAGGGCCTTTCCTCAGCTGGCTTCCCCTTCTGACAGGAGCAACTTCCCTACTGAGCTTCTCCCTGGGACAGGAAAGGCCTGAGGCTGCCGGTCTGTGTCCCTCCCAAAACCCTCCCCACCAGCTACCATTTCTGATGAGGCCCAGGCTGGGGAGGGCAGGGAACCCCCCCCCACACACACACACTGTTACTTTGGAGAACAAAAAAAAATGCTCTGCTCTGCTCCCCCAATCAGGGGAGACAGCAGTATCTCAGGGGACTGGGAAGGCCCCAGCCCAAGAGGGCTGTTCACTAACTGCACAATCACCAGGGGACTCCTGGGGTCACTGGGATAGGCAGTGGCTCCTGTTACTCAGAGCCACATGCAGTGCCTGAACTCTCAGGAGGGGTGCAGGCCTCACCCCCAAACCAGCTTCCCCCACCTCAAGCCCAGCTCAAGACTCCAGGGCCCATGCTCAGTTAGGAGGGGCACCCATATCCTCACAGAGAAGTCCCGAGCAACAGAGATCCAAACCTCATGACAACACAGAGCTTCCCAGAGGGAACCACAGGTTGTGGGGTCCTCCTGCCAGCTCCTCAAGAAGCAGAACTGGTTGGCAGCCTGCTGCCTGGTGAGCAAGTGAAACACACACACAGGAGTGAGGCCCTGGGGGCCTTAGAGCCAAGGCCAGGGTGATACAACAGAGGTCCCTGGGTCCTCTGGATACCAGGGGCACCAGGGACACGGGTCTCAGCCATGGCTGCTAGAAGATGGTGGTGCGGGGACACCAGGATATGTTTGGGTATGGGTGACAGTGGATGGAGCGGAACCTGCAGGGACAGAGTGGAGGGCTGGTCCATGTAGGGCACAGTGCCAAGTGCCATTTGCAGTCCTGCAGCACCTAAGAACCCCCCACCCCCAAGAAAAGAGCCAAAGACAGTAGCCGTGGTCCTGCTGGGGCCCAGTCTCCTCACCTGGATGGGTCAGCCTCCACTGAGAAGGGGCCCTTCACATAGACAGCATTCCGCTTGTTTTCAAACATGCCATAGCTCAGGGTCACCTGTGTGGGAAGGGTCAGGTGATGCTGGAGGGGCCCAACAGTGCCTGGGCCCTAGACAGGGTGACACCCTGACTGGCTGCTCAGGAATGGAGGAATGGAGTCCAGAGTGGGGGCTGCAGCGGAGTATCTACTGACTCTGAATGAAAGGCCCAGAGTACATGGGATCCCCCAAAGGTGGAAGAGGAAGGGATGGCACTGGCGGAGACCCTGGCCCAGTGGCAGCCAGTAATGGGGCTCTCCCTGACTTCCTTGATTTATTTGTGGTTCTGGGGATTGAACTTAGCACCTTAGTTAGCACTGAACTACATCACCAGCCCTTTTTAATTTTTTTTTTTTTTTGAGACAGATTCTTCCTAAGTCACTAAATTGCCCGGGTTGGGTTCAGATTTGTGATCTATCACTCCTGCTTCAGCCTCCCAGGCTGCTGAGATCATGCACAACCTGGGTTGGCCTGGGAGGCAACACAGACCAGGCAGAGAAGAGGCAGACGCGTCTGCGGGGCAGGGTGAAGAACATGCTGAGTCTCCTGCCCTGGTGCCACTTCCTCCTCCACACCAGTTCTGAGGCTCCTTGGTTCTGAGTGTGCGTGGCGGTTTCTAACAGAGGAAGAGGCCCTGTCCAATGGGACATGGCGTGTACTGCCCCTGGTGCCTGTTCTGGGCAGGGCTGCTGTGGAAGAAGTGGCCCTGAGTGCAGCTGCCCCTGAATCCTGGGGAAGGAGAGGGCAGGAGGCAGGCAGAGCCAACACACAGGCCAGGACCCCACTGCAGGGAGGACTAACCAAGGCAGGCCCCGCAGTTCCACAGCGTACTCACCTGGCCCATGGGCTCATTTTCAGCGCCAGCCCTCGGCTAATGCAGAAGCCAGCCCCACCAGTGGCAAACCAGAAGTGAACAGGACGCTGGGGACAGGAAATTGTCGTGAGGTCGAAGGACAGGATAGAGACCAGCCCCAACCCACCCCAGGCTCATGGAACTCACCACCCTGTTCTCACTGACACGCTCGGTGGCCTGGATGGGCCTGTCCAGGCTGGGCTTGCCAATGTAGATGTCCTGGGTGTGCGGGTAGCTGGCCAGCAGCCTCAGCAGGGCGCACAGGTTGACGTAGTTGTCATCATCCACATGGCAGAACCATCTGAGGGCAAGGCAAAGCCATGAGGAGGGCACCTTCAGACGGGAAGGTGCTGGTGGGTGTGGGCAGGGCAGGAGAGCTCCTGGGGCCAATTCACTTCCTCCCGGACTCAATGAAGTGGTCATACTCCACAGCCATCTTACAGGACAGTGCCTGGCGGCTGTGAGCAGCTGAGCAGTTGTTGACCACATTGCCTGCAGGGGTGGGGGTGCTGTGAGGGCCTGGGCACCAGCAGCGCCCCCCAGGTACCTCCTTCACCCTAGTGCAAGGCTAAGGCCCATGGACCCTCCCTCAGCCCGCCCCCTCCCCAGGGCGCCCCTGCCCATTCAGCCAGCTTTTTCCCAGCACCCACCACCTGTTGCTGATGGCCAGGCTCAAAGGAACCTTGGGGGCTGACAGGGCCTCCTTTGCATGAGAATTGCCACCCCCTCCCCCCCGTGGTGGGGCCCAGCCTTGAGCAAACCCTTGACTAAACTGCCCTCCTAACCCCTAGGTCCCTGGCCTCTCAGGGGCCTCTTGGGCCCCTGTAGAAGAGGAAGGATGGACATTTGCTCTGAAAGAAGGCACCCACTCCTTGCCCCAAGTCCCCCAAGCCCAGGGCTCACCCGTGTGCCTGGCCAGCACTTCATCCTCCCAGTCGGTGAAGATGAATGTCTGGAAGCAAAGACACGACCCTGAGCTGCAACTTAGTGTCTGACCCTGGGCCACGGTGGGGAGGGTGGGCAGTGCTGGGTCCCCTGGAGTTGCAGCTGCAGCTCTGGACATCCCCTCCCCACCTCTGCCCCTCTGCCTGTACCGCTTTCCCCTCCTGCAAGAAACAGTGCTCAAGTACCCAGGGTGAGTGGCAGCTGGATGGGGCCTCACTCTCTAACCCTGACAGCTGGGCCCAAGGTCCCCTAGGCAGCTGGGAGGCACGAGCCAGGTGGGTGTCCCACCAGGTAAAGGGCTCCTCCTCACCAGCACCTGGGGTAAGGGACGGGAGGGGAGGGGAGTCACTTGGGTCGGGGACAAAGGACTCTCTGCAAGCCCTGGCAGACAAAGGGCCCAGAGGGAGGATGAACCACCAGGCATTGTCGGCTGGCTTTGTCCTGGGCAGGGGTGCAGGAGGCCTTAACTTGGAGGAGAGTTAAGCAGGAGTGGCCATGTGTCATTACCATACAGCTGGCTTGGTTAACTGGGCCAGGCTGGGCAAGAGGTCCTTGGCAGGGGTGTGGCCACCAGCACTGCAGCCCAAGGCTGTGCCATTGAGCGGGTTCCCCAGTGTGTGACTAGTGTGACAGGTTACCCTCTGCCAAAGCTGTCCCCAAGGTTCTGTGAGATAGTGTTGGTCAATGTGGTGGTGGCAGGAAAGGGCCTCCTCACCCCACCCCAACCCCCAGTTGAGGCCCCCCTCCTGTTGTTCAGGCAAGGTAATGGCTCATTGGCAGAGGACTGTGCCCTGCCCAAGGCCACAGCAAAGCTCCACCTGTGCCGGCACACAGCCATCCTGCACCCTGCCAGGATTGCTCTGCAGAAGAGGAGGGGGCCGCTGGGGTGGGGTGAGGAGCTGCCGGTGCCGGCCTGGGCCCGTCGGCACACGGGGAGGTATGTGCCTTCCTCTGCGGGCCCCGCCCAGCGCGTGCCGCCTGCCATGCCCCACAGGACTGAGCGCCAGCCTGGGGCGGGCGGGGGTGCTGTGAGCAGACAGTGGGGGGCTCCCATACCCACCAAGCCTTAATTTCCTTTTGTGTACACACAGCTCCAAGGGAGGCTCCAGCGCTTGTGGGCCTGCGGGCCAGAAGGCAGCAACCTCATATACCTGGACAGTCCTAGCTCCTGGTCCAGCAGGACCTTGGGCCTGGACACACCCTTGGGTGAAGCTCCTGGGGTGCAGGTTGCAGGCCCCAAGCTCAAGGATATACTGATGCCATTTATGCCTTCTTCATGAATCCAACCTCCCTTTCCAGGGCTGGGCAGACACCCTGGACTGCACAGACACAAGCCCCAGCCCTCAGCCCAGGAAAGCCTTGGGAGGCGGAGAAGGCCAGTTGTGTAGACCTCTGGTGCGCCACTGTATTAAAAGGAAAATGCTTTCTTAATGAGATCAAGTGAGGCTTGTTGTTCCTCACGTTGGTGGTACCCTAAAAACCCAGCCCAGGGCTACAGGAGAGTAAAGTCACTTTTGTTCAGCTCGGGAGTGGGAGGCCTCCTGGAGAAGCACAGGGAGGACCTGGGTGTCCAGCCTCCATCTCTCCAACACAGTCACCAGGAGAAAAAGAGCAGGGGCTGCAGCTGTAGCTTCTGCCTCTGCAAATGGGCTCAATAGTGCTCATCTATGTTGAGCAAAGTACTGAGGACAGACTGTCCCTTTCCGGAACCGTCACCATCACCACCCCAAGTACACAATCGGGGAAACCGAGGCCATGGTCACACCTTACTTAGGGCCTCCTAGGAATCTATACCCCCCCCAATTTCCTGAAGGAGGAGAATCAGGGTAGAGAGCGCAGCAGGACTGGATGAGGACTGCGGGGAAGGCACCCATAGGAAGTGGCATTGTTCCTAGAGCCTTGATTCAAAGAAACACAGGATGCCAAGTTCTCCCCAACCACTGTGGCTGCTGTGGTGGCAGCTCCTGCTGTCTGGCATGCTCCTGGGAGGTGGGGGAGGAGCAGCAGGCCTGGAGCAGGTTCTTCACCCTGACTTCAAAGCCTTGCTGACCAGCACCCCAACCCCCACCTTTCCAGCCGTGAGAACCTTCTAGCACAGTCGCTGGGGCCTAGGGCTCAAGCCCCAGATTCCCAGATTGCCCTTCCAAGACACTCCTGACTCAATGAGGTGCAGAGGGCACCTCTATCAAAAAGCCTAGCCACCGTACCCCTGCAGGCAAATGCCCGTTGGACCTCACAGCCTCTCTAATGTCCCCCACTGAAACTACGCCTGAGTTGCATGGCACAGGCTAGGAAAACAGGCTCTGCAGTACAAGTTCAAGAGACCCCTGCCCACAAAAGACGGGCTGTGCTTGCTGTGCGCATCTGAGCTGATGGTGGAAGCAGATTAAACCTTTCCTAATGGGGCAACCTTTCAGCAGGGTCATCAAGGTCCAGGACAATGATGGCCCCGACCCTCAATACCTAGTAGGTATTGGATATGGTGCCCCCGAGGCCTCCAACTTTTGCTGGCCCTCTTTTTAAAACACTTTGTTGGGAAGGCAATGTTTTTCCCATTGTAGAGATTCAAAACCTGAGTCAGAGAAGCCCTGGGTTTGCTCAAGATTATTCAACCCAGCTGAGAGAACTAAGACCCCCTGACCACATCCTGTCTGCTGGAAAAAGCTCCAAACTCCAGGATAAGAGGTGATCAGAGCTGGTTGGTGGCAGCCCAGAGAGGGCTGAATGCTGTCTTAGGTCACACAGAAGGAAGGCCAAGTGCTGGGGTAGGGGGTGTCCCACTAGAGTTATCAGGGGTGAGGGGCAGGCCCCCTCATTGCCAGGCAACCTGAGCAGCCAGCAAGGCAGCTGTGCTTCTCATGAAGCACAGAGCTGCACACAAAATGCCTGACGCCTTTCTCCCAGGAGAAAGGGGCTTTGTTACCTTGCCTATGGGGCCAGTGTCAGAGCCGACCAGTGCTGGCAATCCTAAAGGCCACAGTCACCAAACAAAACCCATGGGCCCCTCACAACCCCTTCCACCGGCCTCCTAAGCCTCTGGGAAGGGATGCATGGTTCCCAGGAGGCTGCCATGGGGTTCTCCAGCCAGGACCAGATAGGACACTGCTCCCCAGCCCCATTCCAGAGATCAGCAGGCCTTGTATCCTAACCCCCACTTTGCCACAAAAGGCTCAAAATGAGGCTAGAACCCCTGGGTCTGGGGGCCTGATTCCGGGGTTAGGGATGTGGGATTCGTGGGGGGATCCCATTGTGACCCTAGATACCCCTGAGCCATCAGACCTGGGGCGGCTTCCCCACTGCTCCTATAGGCTCCGCCCTCTGCCCCTTCCCGCCCCAGCCCAACCGTTCTACTGTAGCCTCAGGGGCGATTTCAAAGTGGGGTGTGTCTTCATTCCGTCTAGGAACGTGATGCCCAACTGGAGGAGTGAAGCGCAAAGATGAGGCCTCAGGGTCTCCAGCAGGAGGAGAGCAGATCTCCACAGACCCCCAAACCCACCGTCTTTCTTTCAGCATACACTTCCCAGGGCCCACCTGCCAGCAGTGCCTTGACCCCACACCACAGCAAACTAAAATGGGTAAGGGACCCAGTGCCTTACGCAGAAGTCCCACACTCTCCCTTCACTTCCAAGACATGTGCCTTCCTCCCCGGAAGGGTTGACTGGGGTGGGGGTGAGGGGTGGGCGGGGAGAGGGTGTCTCTCAATGGGCTGGAGCAGAATATGATGGGGACGTTTGGGGAAAATAAAGGCCCACTGCTATCTGCACTTTGGAGAGCAACATCCCAAGCACCAACCCCAAACGCAAAGACTGCTGTAGGGTCGGTGTGGCCCCCGGGCCTCTGGAGCCTGGCGGAGATGTCCCCTCACCCAACATTTCCAAAACTGTAGGGATAGTGGCCTCAGGAGGTAAACAGGGCTCAAAGGAGCTGAATCGGTGGCACCGGGCAGCAACGTAGGTGACAGGATGTAGCTGGCCCCCAGCGGGAACTCCCCCCGCCGCTGGACAAGACGGCGCGCGCCCCACCCCACCTGCCTGGCCAGACCGCCGGGACTCACCATCTCCTTGTGGCGCGAGATCCAAGTTTCCAGCAACAGGTCTAGGCGCGCACGATGAAACTTCCTGGTGGTCTTGACCGCGATGAAGACATCGCGGGGGACCAGTGGCTCGGCCGGGGTCCGCGGGTGGCCGTCGGCGGGACGGGGGTTGCCATCGGGCGGCGGGCCCGCGTCCCTGCGCGCGCGAGTCAGCAGGCTGAAGTACTCGGACAGGCTGTGCACCTCACGGGCTAGCACTCGGGGCGCCGCCGCTGCCTCCAAACCAAGCGCTGGGGGCACTAAGCTGTGCAGCGCGCGCCGGCCGCGCTCGGCGGGCACCGCAGCGGGTGGTGGGTCAGCGGTGAGCACCAGAAGGCAAGCGAGCAGCGCGCCCGCCAGTCCTAGCAGTAATCGCCGGCCGCAGCGCTTGAGCATGGTGGGCGCGGCCGGCGAGCGCACGAACTACCCAACTTCTGGGTCCCGCGCCGTCTAACAGCGCGCCACCCGGCCCCAGCGCTCTTAAACCCCGCTCCCGGTCACGCCTCTGCATGCTGATTGGCTCTGGCCCTCAGGGGGCGGAGCATCGCCCACGTGGGGCCGCTGCGGGGGGCTGGGAACCTCGGTCGCCCCTCCAGCCGGCACACGTGCACGCCCCGCCCTGCCCGGGTTCGTCCCCGGGAGCCACCAGGGGGGAGGGGAGTGGTTGGGGCTCGGGCCGGGCCCGCGCCGGATGCGCCAAAAGGGGACACCTAGGCCTGGGCCGCACTCGGCGACTGGCACGCGCAAGGGCGCGCCCTCCGCGTCTGGGCTGGGTGTTGGGACTCAGCTCCGGCTCTGGCTCCCCGCAGGGGATGTCCTGACTTCCCTCCGGAGCCCAGCTTCCTCCTCCCGGGACAAGGCAACGGGACAGACAGAAGTCTATCCCCTCGTTCCAGCGAGAACACCTGTCCCAAACTCCTCCCCTCGCCCGGCTACTTCCTTGAGTGCTGTGTCCCCCGAAGTTCTTAAGCACCCAGTGGCAAGAAGTTAAGGCCGCCCTTTCCCTCGAGGGATGAAAGGCCGCCTTCTGTCCCATTTGGTCCCTCCTCGCTTGGGTCAGATGTGACCCAGCTGTGCACCGCTCTGCCCCGCCTTCCAGCACATGGCCCCCAACCCTGGCGCTTCCCACGGGCCCGGGCCGACCCCCTGCACGAGCGGTGGCGGCAGGAATGCGCTCCTGGAGCGGGTAAGGCACTACGGGGCCGGAAGTGGCCCAGGGTCCCCCTGAGTGGGCACAGGGTCTGAGCCCCTTTCCCTTCTCTTCCAAGAGGGGGTGGCTCTCCGCTTGGCTGCGCCGAGGTCCTGCGCCCACACTAAGGAGACCCTGTGCACCCACCATGCCTCCCACGGCCCACCCCCCAACCATCTTGCCCACTGGCCCCCTATATGTCCACAGCACAAATCTCTTTGCTCAGTTATGGACCCTCCCCTGCGTGTCAAAGAGGCAGGACAGTGGCAAACTGAAGGAATCCTGGCTTGAGGGGCCAGGGACCAGACCCTGGCCATAGTAGGGCTGTAGGAAGACTCCCGAAATGGACGTCTCTCCACCCCCACAGAGAGGTTGTGGCCCGTTTGCTCTGCCCCCGTAGAGGTAGGGTAGGGGCGGTGGTTCCCAGGCCTCTTCCGGAGGGTCCCAGGTAATTAGCAGACAGCACCTCAGGCAGGCAGATGTCTGTGAGCAGATGGTGCTAGCTGTGCCCAAAAGTGACAAGTCTCCCATAGCCTCACCTCCTGCCATAAACTCCTTCCCATCAGCCTGACCCCAGCCCTGAAGCCTCCCATAACCGCGGGCCTTTGGAAGGGGGCTCCCCAAGTGCCAGCCAGCGCCAGCCTCAGGCTCAGCGTCTTTGCCCCACTTCCTCACCCCCACAACCAATCGCCACCATTGTGCTTCTCAGCCATTTGGAGTCTGAGCCTTCTCCGCCCAGTCCTCTCTCCCCTGGACCACTTGGCACCCTGCACCCTGATCTTCCTGTGCCCAACCTGCCTGCCCTATTTACTCTCCTTGCGGTAACCAAGCAGCTCTGATTACATCCCCCCTCTCCCATAGGCTGTGCACAGAGAGATCAAGTCCGTGGCTTCCCCTTGCCGGTGGATTCAAAGTCCTGACCTGGTGTTCACATACTTTTTAGGAGTCCCAGCCCTGTTCCTTGCTGCTTCTACAACTTCCCTCATTCCCCAACAGCCCAAGCATGCTGGGCCCTGACATCTGTGCCCTGGACTTGGAATCAACTCAAAGGCATGGAGAGTCAGTGGGCAGCCCTGGGGGCCAAATATTCTGCAGACTGCCAAGAGGGAACAGGGAGCAGCCATTCTACCCACAACTACATGACGGAATCCTTCAAATCAGAGGGTAGGATTTGCTTGAGCCCCTTAACCCCAGGTCTCCATGCTCCTGGCTCTCTGGCCACTGTGGCTTTCAAATGCCAGGCTGGGAGCAATGTACCCATTGTACAGAGCACAAGCTGAGGCTCAGAGGGGGAGCATCTTTACCAAAGGAATCCCTGCAGCCAGGCTTCAGGGAGAGGGGGACCCAACCGTGGCCACTATTTTGGAAACAGCAGGATAAAACTTGCAGCTTTCTTGTGGGGGCTGCAGGCCTTGGTAAGAGTGATTCTATTTATTTGCTGTCAGGAGAATGAAATTTCATGGTAACTCCTTGGGGTCTGAAAACTGGAGGAGGGTGCCTGGCCACCTCTGCCCCTTCTCCAGGCTCAGCTCCAGCCTGAGGTGCTCCCCTTCCTCCTGGATCCCAAGGCTCTCTTCAGGAACTGCTTCTTGCCTTCCCATCCCAGAGTGGCCACCTTTCAACCGACCTTGGACAGTAACCTCGCTCCACTCCTATGAGCCTCAATTTCCCCACCTGTAATATGGAGATGACTTATTTTGCTAGCTGGTAACTGAATCCAGGACCTTTCTCTTGGTACGCAAAGGCCCTACCCCTGAGCTACATTCTCACCCTGTGGCTTTCCTGTGGCCCCAGGGCCCCCTCCAGGCTCGGGAGGGTGTTGTGTCCCCACTGAATTCAGAGCCCCTTCGCCTACAGGCTCAACCTGGGGTCTGTGACCTTGGAGCGCTTGGGACTGGCTGCCATCTTCCCCCAGTGGTGTCCTGGGAAGATCTGTGGAGACCTAATGGGTGAGCCATTAACTACGCAGGAAGTCATCCGAGGCAGCCCACAGGCCTATCACTGCTCTGTCCAGTGGTTCCACTCAATGTCCTGGAAACCTGCCTCCCCCGGCCCACAGCCCAGCCCAGAGAGGGAAGGTAGGGTCCCTGGCTGCACATCCAGGCAGGAATGTGAGACTGGTTGCTGGACAAGCTAGGAATGCCAGACTGCAGGCCGATAGGAGGGAGCACCAGGTACCTACAGACCCCTAGGGGACAGTAGCCTGGCCAGAGTGGCTCAGTCTAAAGCCTGTGGGTGAGCATCACTGCAGGAGGATGAGAGGGACAGGGCCTGGTGGAAGCTAAGTACCAGGACTTCTAGGCGGGGGGTTGGGGTGATTCCCATGGTTGCATTGGAAGGCTGGGATAGGCAACCTCTTGCTGTGATCAGAGGCCCACTTGGTCCCAGACGCCTGCCTGTCCTGCGCCCTTGCTGCTGCCCACTCTGTGTGGTCTTGGGCCAGTTCCCGTCTCTCCCTGTGGGCTCAAGATTCCACTTGGCTATAATGGTGATGTGGTTCCTGCCCTTCCTGCCCTGCCCACCAAGTTGGCTTGGGATGGTGCTCTGCAGGCATAAATCAACTGCCTTCCCACTGGCAGCCTGACCCTTAGGTCTGGACCCTGGGCCCTGGCATGGACAGAGTGGCTGGGCTTTTAGGGCCAGTCTGACTTGGCCTCGGTGACTAGGAAAGGCTCTCAGGGGTACCCTGACTTGGGAATGCTGTAAGCCAGCCAAGAGCTGCCTCTTCCAGAAAGTCCTCTATTCCCTAGGTCATCCCTGGATCAGTACCAGCCACCTGGGGCTGTAACTGCCTGTTTACCATCTGCCTTCATGAGGGCAGAACACAAGTTACACTGTGTCTGACACAAAGGAAGCACCCAGTAAACCCTGGATGAGTGATACATGGCGGGGGTAGACAGATGGATAGATGGATGGAAGGACAGATTAATGGAGGAATGGTTGGACAGATAGTTGGAAGGATGGATAGATAGACACGTGGGTGGATAAATAGGTAAACAGACAGGTGGAGAGTTGGATGCCTAGATGGATAGACGGATGGATAGACGGATGGATGGATGAATGGATGAATGGATGGATGGATGGATGGACAGATGGATGGGTGGGTGGATGGATGGATGGATAGGAGGATAGACAGCCTGTTGGAGGCCACCTGCTTATGACTGAGCTTGGCCACCCTGCTGGGAAAAGTACCGGTACCCCTTACACAAGCCTCCAAGGGCCGCTCTTAAGCCTCAGGAGTCCAGCAGGGACAGCAGGGAGAGGGTCTCCGCACTGGGGCATGGACTTGTCCACACTAGGAGGGCAGACCCAAACCTGCCAGCTGAGCCTCTTCCTGTGACTGTGCTTGGAGCCAGCTGGGTTGAGGGGATGGCTGGGGCTAAGCTGATTTGCAGGTCCCAGGCACAGAGCCTGACTACGAGGACCCACTTACTGAGGTCCTGCAGAGGCCAGACACGCACCCTGCAGACACCAGAGTCACCCGGCCCTAATGGTCTTTGTCTTCCCAAGAATGGCTAGCTTGTGTGGCAGCCGCAAGTAGGCACCAGGCACAGGCCCCCGCCCCAGTCATGACCCTGTGCCCAGGGGCAGTGGAAGGGGGCTCCAGGCTGGGTGGAGGCGGAAGAGGTCAGAGTCTTGGCTCCGAAGGCCTTCTTCACTGTGCGAAAGGTACGGCTGCGACCTCAAGCTCTTCCTCCGTAAGATGGGCTGTCCTCTTAAGGACAGGATGGATATGGCGTGGGTGGGTGGGAACCTGGGCTCCCAGAAATGACAGTCACTTCTGCAAAGAGAAGAGTCATCGGGTCTGAGAGTCATTGCTGGGCTCAGGCTTCCACCCAGTCCTTTCATCCATTCCTCTGTCTGACTGTTCGCCTACCCCTGTGCCCAGCCCATTTCACTCGCTCATCCAACACTGGCCCTAAATGTTTTCTCCATGCCCAGCCCTGCTCGGTATGGAGCGATTTAGACAAGGAATTTGCCAGCCTCTGGCCCAGGGAGCTCAGCCTTGAGGGGAGCATTCAACAGGCACCCAGATGTCGCTGTGCAGGCCGAGGTGGGTAGGGCTGGAGGATGGGCCAGGCACAGACACGCTCAGGGCCTCTGTGAATCCACTGTGAGCCAGGGCTGAGTGGGGAGGGGGCTCCCTGAAAGGCCTCTAGAGAAAGATGTGACATTTGCCCCAGGGCTTGACACTTTGGACAGGTACAGTTAGACAGCAGGCAGATGTGGAGGCCTTGGGAACACTTGGAGAAGTTGTGCGCAGGGTTGAGTAGGTGTGAGTAGAGCCACTGTGGGAGGTGAGCACAGAGCAGTGAGCAGAAACCTCCAGTCCAATCTCAGGATGCCATGTGAGAGGCAATAGAGAGCCACACAAGGCGGAGAGCAAGAGGAAGTGAACCGAGCGAGATGCGTTACAGAAGTTATGAGCTCCTCATCAACGCTGAGCCTGTCTGTGTCTGCCTGTCTGTCTCTCCCTCTGGCCTTGCATCCTTGGAGCTGGAAAAAGAGGAAGATGACATGAGACTGGGCTGTCTTTGCCTCTGTCTCCCTTCCTACCAGTAGGATTTGCAGAG